TACGGCTTTGGAACTGCAATAATAACGATTACGTCGAGCGCGCGTTTCTCGCGCGATCCACCCCCGCTTCAATATTATTCACCGCGTCGGTCTCCCGATGGATTATCGCGAAACATCGATCTCGGGGGTTACTCGAAGATCTTATTATCATCTTTACGCGTGCCGCGAAAATGCATATGCAAATCACGACGAGTTCGTGTATAATAAAGCCCGCGCGTCAAAAATCCGCGGGGAAAGTTCAACGCGCCATATATATCCCGAGAAAGAGGTCATATCCGCGGCCGCGGCGAAGAAAAAAAAAACCGGTCGTCGGCTCTTTGCACCGGCACGATAAGCCAGCGACGTAAAATTGAAATTTACGGGTCTATAATTCTCCGCGGGAGAAAGAGAGACCGAAGGGGCGCGACGCGCCTTTGTAATCCGTTTTAAACTCGGCCGTGTACCGGCTCGTTCGCCGCAGGAACTAACGATTTCTCTTACGACTCTGGATTATTAAAAAAGCAGTTAAGAGTTGTCACGAACATACGTTGCGGTAGGGCAGGCTAACGTATCTACCGCAGCCAGCTGGAGAACATGAAAAAAATATAATTACTGTGGTATAATTGTCATCAAACGATTACGTGAAATTTTATTTGTTAAAGTACTATTTGTTAAAGTATCCACTTCCAGTTCTTCTACCTCGTATTAGAAGATAAATATAATACTCTTCATCATTCTAATAACGCGTTTCATCTCCAAAGGGAAATTATCGGGTATTCCTGGTGTATTATCCGCGGCCTCATTGGAGAGCGTTCCCTCCCTATTCTTATATATCACTCTCGGATGATTCTTTCATGGGAACGTCTCTCAACAAATTGAATCGTCCGGTGATCGTACCTAGGTGCCATTGTCAGGAAGCAATTTGAGAAGGCGCTATCGATCGTACCGGGAACGGAAACTACCGCGAACCGCCGTTTCCATACTCTGGGAATAACTCGCGGCTCCGATTCTGAGAAAGTTTTCAAATTTTTCACGAATAATCTCCATCGCTTTCGCGAATCGTACGCCTCGGCCGGGGAAAACGGACGGTGAAGCCGATTCGATCGAACTTCGACAATAGCTTCGACCGTCGCTCGACTATTTTGCGACCATTACCGTTAGCCCCATGACCATTATCGTGCCCTCGTGATGCCGTTGTATTTCACGTCACCCTTTGTCCAAGGATTGCCTCGTCAGTATCTGCGCGGCCATAGTCCTGCGAAATCCCTTCGTCCGCTTTTCTTGCGAGGCCGCCGAATCGCGCGCAAATGCGTACGTCACGTAGACTGTGTATTGTATAAAAACTCTGTAAACTAGCAGGCCCACCCCCTCGAATCAAAGATGAGTCTCGGCTGAGAATTTATCAGGGTGGCGCCGTGCGCTTCGCAGGCTTTTCATTTTCAACGTCAGGTATCCTGGTGACCGAGCCTTAAATTTAATTCCTTAAGGAAGGTAATCGATGGTTCTGGCACACCCTACGGTCTGTCGTAGGGTGAGAGAGAGAAAAAGGATCCGATGAGGGGTAGTAGTGTCGCAGCGAGAACGAACGAAGAAGTGCGAGACGGAGGAGAAGAAAAAGGGTGCGAGGAGAGGAAAAAAGTGAAGTCGCGTCGGACATGTCGATGTCGCAAACAGGATAGAAAATATATATCGATGGGGAGATAGATACTTTATCAAACATACTTCAGGATAGTATTTCCTGTGTGAAGTTATATACATGTGCACGCTGGAAAGTATACAAGTAGTAACTTGCGCTACTTAGATTAAAGTAAAAGAAGAAAGTTACAATGAAATAACGATGCAGACTTGGATAATTAAAAATGTAACGAGATGAAATGAAAACTGGTTCATCAAAATAAATAAGAAATCGTGTAATTAATCGATTTTTTTACTAGATGAAAAAATAATATTTATAAAGATTGTAGATTTAAAGCAACGCGATAGAAAGAAATTAGAAATTTGAAAGTGAGATTTATGACGATGAATTTCCACCATCGATAGCAAAAATGATCTATGGCAATATGCGGCACGATGTAACGGTGTATATAAGCCATTTGAGCGATGAGATGACGTTCTTTCAAACTTCTAAATGATAATGGAAATATTCTCGGATATAGGAAAGTACTCCTTCAGACAAAACAGAAAAAAATGTAACATGAAAGGAAAGAATGGCAAACAAAGAAGCGGGAAAGCGGTTTAGCAAACAGGATCAGTTAACAATGACTCGACGAGCGAGTGTCTATCGACTCCATGGCGATCATCTATTTCCGGCCGAGGGAAGTGAAAAATGTGGTATCTCGATACGCCACTTTTAATATTGCACGCTACAGCGAACTTAACATTGAGATTCAACAATCCCAGGCCAATCAGCTACTCGAAGAAAAGAGCGGCGATCGCGTTATTGGAAACGAGTGCATAACTGTATCCCGATTGTTGTCAATCTGTAATAATTATACAATGTAAATGGATACGCTGTCGCGCGCACACGCCCATAATTCACGGAACGTGTGTACGCCGTCGAATGCAACGTGCACAGATGTAAGCTGATGCGTGACGTTAATAGAGTCGCGACTCAATTGTCATTTTGCACAAAAGTCCACGTGTGGTGTTATACATACAAATTTGTCCGCGCGAGCATTATGCATTCATCATATATATAATATCGCGCGGAGTCCGAAATAACGTTATTACGTTGCAAGTAATATGTCAAGGGAATGATGATGACGAACGCGACTTTCGATTCGCGCATAATCGGATCTCATCGACACGCATCGATTAGTCTTTCAAATATAGTTCTGTTCGAAATTAGATTTCTTCTTTAACCTTCTTTATACCGAAGTCAGACTGAAGCCGAGGGAAATCCTTCTTTCCAAGGAGAGCTTGAAAGAGCTTTACAATCATCATGGCGCGAAAGCCGTGTTCTACAGCGGAATTATGCGAATTCTTGGAATTTTTAGATTCTATAGCTTTAAAGGGTAATAACGTTGCCGGAAGCGCGCCGGGGCGAAATAGCTGAGGGCGGCACGTGCGGCACGAATAGCGAAAGTATCGTCGACGTGTAACGTCAACGGGGGATGCAACGACGTCAATTAATGCATCGAAATTGCGTTATACCGATGTAGCTTTATGGCATACGAAGTACCCGAACGTCTCTCGCGTAAAGTGCCTCGGCGAAACGCGGCACCGCGGCGCAACGGCGGAACGGAATTGTATATGTTTCTCGACTAAAAGTGCATTGCGACCGTAATGCACACGATGGAACGTGTTAAAACTGACGAAACTTCCTTTATACAATCTAGCTCAAATATTTATATTATCTACTTCACGGTACTTCAATGCTGTTACGTTCGACATCAATAATGTAACGTGATTATTTCTGGATGAAGCAATGTTCGGTTCAGAACAATTGTTAATTTATTCGATTTTCTCGATGCACCAAATATAATTTTTTGTCTTCGACAAGAAAAATTATCGAAAATTGAATTGAATTAATCGCTTGTCGTTATCGACTGCGCGTATTTTTTCAAATTAAATGTCCGTAAAATATTTTTATTTGTTTTCTTGAACGAATTATAAATGAGTAGGACGAAATAGATCACGTTTCTAACGTTTTCTGATTTTTAAATTAAACTTTCTCGAAAAACAAAGCTTCGTTTTCAGAAAAATTTTATCCTATAGTTTTTATTGTGTTTTAGAATCACCCCTTGCTTCGCCAATAACTATCCCGCGTAGCTTGGTTGGGTTTTGCTCAGAATCAAGAAGCGAATAGCCAGGTGGCACACGAGAGCGAATAAGAAAATCACGTTGTTTCGCGGCAAATGTTATCAAATAGAAGAGACGAATTGACTATTTTTACAAGGGTTGCGAAACCCTTGCCAGAAGACGGTCGCAGTGGAGTCGCCGTAGCGCGAGTCAGGCATGCGCGGCCGGTTCAGGGTGGCGCGCGGCAGTGAAAGAGCTCGAGGGCGAAACCCACGTTTCAGTCCGTCGCGTGTGTTGCTACGGGCACATATAGTGCACCGCTCTCCGGCGCCTGCAACTCTCGGTGCTCTCGTATCTCGGACGGGGGAGGGGACCGTGATGCCGTGATGCCGTGAGAAGAGGCGAGGACACGCGAGAGTCACGCGTACATACGTGACCGTGGAGGATCGGGGCGGTGGTGCGCCGAGTTCCACGCGATCGTCCCACCGAGGGGGCGAGATGACGTCTCGACGGAGCGCCGCGCGACCCCGTCGCTCGTCGCGGATCGCCGCTCCTCGCGCGTAAACCCAAATTCCGCTTGTGAAATTCCCGCCCGACCGCCCGCGACGTCGATATCGGATATCTCCGCCGTCCGAGATCATCCCGCGCGCGTCGCCAAATTCGCCCGGACGTCTCGTCGTTTCTGTCAAATGACGAGAGAGATACGCGCGTGTCACGGTTGTCCGTCCGTCCGCGCGTAACCCGACTCGCGGAACCGACAGTTTGCCTGTGACATACGTGAAACTCGGTCCCACGAGACACCCACCTCTCTTTCTCTCTCTCCCTCTCTC